AGAGGCGTATTTTCAAAAAGCATAGTATTAATTTTAATATTGTAAAAAAAAAAAAGGAAAATACCTAAAATATACAGAGAACATATATATATCCAGATGTCTGAGGAATTTCAAGATAATCTACTTTTGTTTTCTGTGGATTTCTACCCATGGTGTACATATTGTGTGGATTGAACATTGGCTGTTTTAATACTATTGTTAAATTGTATTTTTATTTTGTGTTAAACTAATCATCACAGACACAGCTTTATTTTGTTTATGTAAAGGTTGCTATGCTATGTAGGTATAAAACCAAGAATTCTATTTTAACAAAAAAAAAGCATTTTATATTATTTATTAAATACATGTTTCTCCAACTTCTGACATTCCACAGAGTTTCTGCTCCATATATGTATAGAGGTGGCAGTTCCTTTCAAGCAGGATCAGTCAGCTTTATTCTGTTTTTCATAATAAAGTCAAAATAGTTTGTCAGTCTGGCCAACTTACCCTTCTGTTAGGAGCACAGTGACTTGCAGGTGCTGTCGGGACCATCTCAAAGTGCAGTGACTTGTGTCTGCAGAAACACCTGAAAAACTCCTGCAATATAATCCCCTCAGTTTGATATTTCTGCATTTCCCCTGTATTCCTGAGCATTGCAGAGAGCAAGCTTTTGTTCCTCTGAGCCTGTGCTGGGTTCATGAAGGTTAATAACCTTAACTTAGGGTAAGGAGTCAGCTTGATATTTGGAAAAGCTCAGGCATCAGCTCAGGTATTTAGAAAGCTCTTTAATTCCATGGTTGATGAGCTGGTGGAAGGGGGAGCCTGGCGAAGCTGTGGAGGTTGAGCAGGAGTGGAGGCTGCACTTGGGCTAGTCTGGGTGGAGGGCACAGGCTACCTGGCACCCACCAGTGCAAAAATGTATTTACTGAAAAGGGGTTTTGGTGTTTCAGGGTGATTACTTGCTCCCTCAGGAGAGGCTGGAGGCTGTGAGGCCAGGCAAGGTGCGCTGTGGAGCACAGGGGGGCCCAGCAGCAGATGCTGTGCTCATCCCCAGGCTGAGGAGGGAAGGGGACCCAGTGGGGACAGGCCCTCAGGGGTGTGGGGAGGCCAGCTGGCCCTTCCTCAAGCTGAAGCTCCCACATCAGCAGTCCCCTCACTGCCAGGAGCCACAGGGCAGGCTCAGCCAGGGGGAGTGGGGCTTGGCTGTGCTGCTGCCCCTGGGCCTGCTGGGGTGTTTGCTGGGGTGCTGCTACTGCTGGGCACATCTGTAGGTGACCAAACCAGCCACCCCCTTCCTGAGCAAGGTACAAAAATAGCATGGAATCCATCAGATAACTCAGTTACTAAAAATAATTCCAGTTGCAATCATGTCCTGTGCAGTTTGAGGAGAACTCAAGGTAGGAAAGCACGTTCTTTCCATTTCCACCATGGTGGAGCTTGAAGGACGTGCTCTTTGGGGCTGGGTGGGATGTGGCATCTCTAGGGTGAGCTGTGGTGTTGTCAGCTGTGCTGCTGAAGCCTTGTCTTGTTGAGACACTGCCTGATGTGGGGAGGGGATGGCTGCTTTTCCCTACTTCTTGCCTTGTTTTCCATTTTCCCCTTCTCACACCTGCCTGCTGGTGTTTGCTCTGTGGCTGAGCTGTTGTGTTGAGCTGCTCTGTCCAGAGCACCTGGAAAGAGGGAGAGGCTGGTGGCAGCTGTGACACCACAGTGGTAGGATAGTGGTTTCTTGGCATCACCTGCCAGGAATGTGCTGTGATTGTGATGTTGTTGAGCCTGGTGCCACAAATCTGATACGTGTCCAGGCAGGGGTTCTTTAGAAAACCTGGGGACAGGGTCAGAAAGCTGGTTATTTGTCCAAGGTCAGGATTTGTCTGGGTTTGTGTAACTCGCTGTCCTGCCAGCGGGACATGGAGCAGGTGTAGCTACGGGCTGGCCTGGATGTGGGGCTGGGAAGGGGCTTCCCCAGCTGTAGCAGGCACCCTTTCCTTAAGGAAGGGCAGAGATCTGAGAGTGGGTGAGATGGCAAATTAAAATGGTCTGAAAAACAGAATAAAGCAAGAGCATCCTAGGAGGGGTGTTTCACAAGCACTGTTTCAGTGACAACATTCAATCCTTCAGAAAACAAAAAGGAGCAGATTCACGTGAATAGCTACTAGAGATTTTAAAGAAATATATTGAAAGAGAACCCGTTTTCCATGTGTAATTTAATGGTAAGAAAAGCCAGTATCTGTAAATAACTTTAGATATTGTATCTATGAGAATCATTCCTTGTTTTATGTACTTGGCTCTTTTTGTATTTATTGTGCAGAGGAGGGTGTGCCCTGCGCCCGCGTGTGCTGCTGCCCGGCCAGCAGTGCTTCCCAGAGACTACTCAGAGTTTACAGCCCTCGGCCGTTTGTGACTGATGTGCCACACGTGGGTCCTTCCCCCGTTATTAATATTATTATTATTTTTTAAAGGATTATTTTGGCACAGCTAAGCTGCTTCTGTGTGTTGGTCAGTACAACTGCTCTCATACGATGAGAACCCCAATAAAAACCGTCCTTTGCGTGTGGGCTGTTGCCTGGTTCTTTTGGTCTCACCTGTCCCCTTCCCCACGGCTGTGCCAGGCCGTGCCAAGCTGTGCCAGGCCGTGCCAAGCTGTGCCAGGCCATGCCAGGCCAGGCAGCTGCCTGTGGGGCTCTGCTGGGCCGAATCCATGTGCCCCATTGTCCCAGCTGCTCCATGCAGAGGTAAGTCCCTTCATTGTTCACATCCACGTGTTTGTCCCTTCCTTGTGCACGGGTGGCTGTTGGGGACACTGGCTGATGGGATGGTGCCTGCTGTGGTGAGCATGGCCCTGGGGGTGAGCCTGGTGCACTGGGGGAGCACCCAAACCGTCCCCAGCAGGAGCTGTGAGGTGTGTTGTGGTGATGAGCAGTGGCTCTCGGAAGGCGTGGGAGGGACCCTGATGCTCAGAGCTGAGGGGTGGCCTGGCAGCAAACCCCCCACACAGCCAGGCTCCCCTGGGGCTGCCGTGCTGCTGGGGACCACCCGAGGGCTCCTTTCAAACTACATGTCCTCGGAACATGTAGCCATGGCATGGCTGGAACATGCCATTCCCAGCTGGAAGCAGGGACCGATGTCAGCAAGGTGCTCAGCTCAACCCTCGGTCTCATGTCAGGCAAGTACACACCAACACCTCTTTCCTTTGTCTCTATCAGCTTTTCCTGCTTTTGGCACTGGTGCCCTGGGCACGCGTGGAGCTCTTTGGTGCAGAGGGGTGTCACCTTTGCAGCTGGGTTTGGTGTGACCCTGCAGCCCTGGCTGGGTCCTGCTGTCCTTGCAGAGTCACCCTCTGCCCTGTGTGTGCTCTGTCCCCAGCAGAGCTCTGGGGGGTGTGAGGCTGGGGGTGGGGGTGCCAGTCACCCCCCAGGCAGGCAGAGCATCCCCCAGGCAGGCAGGGCCCCCCAGGGCAGGCAAGACCCCTGCTCCCTGCCCACTTGACAGCTTTGGCATTAGCACCACGGTGACTTTTTCTTTCCACTGGGTAGAAAAGTGTTTTGACTCCTGTTCCTGGCCCCCTCCCCAGCTCAACCCCCCCAGCCTGTTCCTCCCAGGGAGCCCTGTGATGGACGTCTGACCCGGGGGGCTGGGGGGCAGCCCCTTATCCCCCTTTTGCACCAGCCCCGGGCTGGCTCACCCCCACCCGCCGCAGTTCCGTGCG